AGAAAACAGAAGAAGAAGAGAAAGGTAATTACTTTTTAAAACACTGTAGCAAGAAACAACATGTGACCCAAGATTTGCCTCTCTGGAGACAGAGGCACTAGATCAAAGAGATGTGGAGGAATCACAAAGGAGATTGAGAAGCAGTCCGTGAGGTAGAAGGAGAACCAAAAGAGAGGGATATCCAGAGACCAGAAGAAGGAAGTGTTTCAAAAGTAGGTAGTCAAATATAGGTAATAAATCGATTAGGAAGATATAAAAATGGATTGTTCACTTGATTTAGCACCATAGAAGCCACTGGTGTGCTCAACAAGGGCCTTTGAGGTCTCAAGTGCAGAGGCTAAATACAAAAGCCTATTCAGTGTACATTTAGAAGAAGGGGAGGACAGGAAGTGGGGACAATGAGCGTAGACAGCCTTTTCAGGGAATGTCCTATAAAGGGGAGTAGAGAAATAGGACAGCAACTGGATGGCGATGGGGACTAAAGGAAGAAGCAAGTTCATAATGAAATGTTAAAACGTGTGCACATACAGTGGGGGAATGTTCCAGTGGAAGGGGAAGCTGATAATTCAAGACAGAGTTAGTGTCGGGAGAAATAGCCTTATAGGCAAAAGGGGTTGGGACCTGTTGCACCAATGCAGGGGTTAGCCTTAAGCACAGGCTGTTCCTCCCAGGTTACCAGAGGGGACACAGAGTATGCACACAAAGCAGGTGGGTGTGTAGGTGTGTTACTGCAGCGTCTGAGGTGCTTCTGATCACTTACATCTCTGTGAAGGAAGACGCGGGTTCATCAGATGAGTGAGAAGGAGGAGGGATGAGAAGAGAGGTGGAGGTGGAGATCTGAGAAGAGTGAATGAGTAGAGAATAGAAACAAGAAGGCTTACAGGGCAGGGCAGCCCAACTGAGTCTGGCGGTCAGGAATCTAAAGCGAGACCTGTCGGTGTCGGTGTCCGTGTGATTGTTTTTCTCCAGTCGTGCTCAGCGGCCCAGGTGCTGGTGCAGAGCCAGGGAGAAAAAGAGATTTCATGAGGGCGGGTTGGCCAAGTGAGTATGAAGGCGATCTGCTGGTTTCTTCCTGACAGAGGACAGAGCTGCCCAGTCTTTACTCAACAAGCTGATCCGAAGCAACCTGGTGGATAACACAAACCAGGTGGAAGTCCTGCAGCGGGACCCGAACTCCCCACTCTACTCCGTGAAGTCCTTTGAGGAGCTTCGGCTGTGAGTGTCTGTTCCCTGGAACAGCTGTTACTTGTTGGTCCCGCCTTTCTAAAACTGAGCATCTCAGAGATTTTTTGGGAATTTTACTTTTTGCCTTTATTTTTAAGAATCTTAATGTATTTATTTCTTTGATTAGTTAATAATTCACATGATTCAAAAATGAGAAAGTATGGAAAAGTTTACAGTGATGGTTTCCCTCCCACCCTTGTCTCTTGGCTACCCAGTTCTCCTCCTCTTGGGAGGGATTTTTAAATGCCACAGATTTATTCATCATAGCTGAAAGTCTTTTTTCTTTTATGCTCTTAGAACTTTCAATAAAATATTGGCTGACAGGTGATTTCTGGATGTCAGGAACATTTCTTATTAGGTAAGCCCTTTCGTTAGACTACAGGGTTTACGGTCTTGAGAACACTTTATCTGCTTTTACATAATCAAAAGAGCCTATGCAGGATTCCTAGTACCTACGGTGGAAAGCAGTCTTCAATATTCTGGAATTAAAAAAAAAAAACAAAAAAACAAAACCAAAAAAACCAATTCAGAACCCAGAATTAAGCCGCAAGGGAGCACTTTTATGGCACTGTGCTAAGAATGACTTCTACCATCTCTTTACTTTAAAGGCAGAATTGTGGAAGGTCATACCAAGTTTTTTTGTTTCTCTCAGCATATTAGTAAAGAAGTATTTATGAATCCTTGGTTTATATACACGCTATTGACCTGGGTGTCGTGAGTAACTTAAGACATAACTACTGTTCTTGCTGCCTGCCAGGACGGAAATCACAGACAGAAAATAGCTGGGGAACAAGAACGTGGTGAAATTAATAGATTCTTTGCCTTTATCAGCAAAATCTATAGTATCCCCACTGTGGGCAAATAAGGGCTACATTCTTGCCAACTTATTACCACTGCTTTAGAGTAAGAGACATTTAAACTATGAGAGCTGACTAAAACCAAATCAAGTCATCACTAAAGTGTTAGCCGGAACAAGTTTTTCAAAGCATGGCTTTTTTTTTTTTTTTTTTTTTTTTAATGTTCTTAGGATATTATATTTTTCTATGTGTATTCCCTCCAGCAGGGGCTTCATTGAGCAAATCTGTCATCTCTGCCTCTATTTATAAACTAGATCAGGGCCGCGAGTTGTGCTCTTTTGTTTCCTGAAGCGACAGTTTGCTTTTCCAAGGATTGATGGTTTTTAAACCCCATTTCATTTAAAGGACTTGAGCTCCCAGTCCAACCAGTGAGGAACTGTCCTCTCTGAAAAGTCAAGTTCTCTCTGATTTAGTAGTTTTTGGATAGAGGAAACAAAAAATGAAACTTAAGTTGCCTTGCTTTGTTTTTGTACTTAAAATTTTTTAATTAATCTGAAAAATAAGAGAAAAATAATGAACCACCAGAAGCTCTTGGATCATTTGGATCTTCATCAGTTGTGACTTTGTTTCCTTAGCAACAAATCAAAATCTGCCAAGATTCCTAGCCTTTTCTTCCAAACAGAAGACACCAGAGGTTACGCTTTCAGGTCTTTGTATCTGAGAACCAACATATGCCAGAAGAATTTGCCACTTAGAGAGCCTGTTAACTCCAAGGAGGGCTCAGAGAACAGAAGTCTTGACTTGGTTTGACTCTTCTTTACAGTCTGGTGGGATTTTTGTGGAACACCCTGTCAGTGTGGAGGTAGCAGAGAGCTAATTGTAAATGCAATGGAAGAGCAACTTGAGGGGCGCCTGGGTGGCTCAGTGGGTTAAGCCTCTGCCTTCAGCTCAGATCATGATCCCAGGGTCTTGGGATTGAGCCCCACATCGGGCTCCCTGCTCAGTGGAGATCCTGCTTCTCCCTCTCCCTCTGCCTGCTGCTCTGCCTACTTGTGCTTTTTATTTCTGTGTCATAAATAAATAAAATCTTAAAAAAAAAAAAAAAAAGACGAAGAGCAACTTGAATTTGATATTTGTTGTGCATCTACTTACATAAGCTGTCGCTTTCCTCCTCTTCATTTTTGACTAGACTTAATAAGTAAATGTGAACATTTGGAAAGTTAAGTATGGTAATTGAACACTCCTACCTATTTACTGTAGATCAGGTAATAGAAACTGGTTGAATCAATTTTCTTTTTTTTTTTTTTTTTTTTTTTTTTAAGATTTTATTTATCGAGAGAGGGAACACAAGCAGCAGGAGAGAGAGAGGGAGAAGCAGGCTTCCTGCTGAGTAGGGAGCCCAATGCGGGACTCAGTCCTAGGACTCGAACCATGACCTGAGCCAAAGGCAGTCGCTTAACAACCTAGCCACCCAGGTGCCGCAATTTTTGTATTTCTTGCCTGTCCTGAGTATTTGCACGGCTGGCTTTGAAAGGACTATGGAATACAAAATGACTGTGGTTCAGTTTAACATCTGCCTCAAGAATTAAAACTGAATCTCATTCCCTAAGGGGACTTCTGTATGTTACTGGTATAGTAAGCAGTATATTTTTAACTATGTCTTTTATAATTCATTTTATGCAAATTATAAGATTGATATGAATTAATACATACCACTCTTGCAATATTCAGGGAACATTTGTCCTCCAAGGCCAGTCATATTTGTGGATCTGCTGAAAGCATGAATTTTTCCAAGAACTGAAGCTAGTCTGTATTTTCAGAATTGCACAAGAGTTGCAGATTAAGGGGCACCTGGGTGGCTCAGTTGGTTAAGCTTCTGCCTTCGGCTCAGGTCATGATCCCAGAGTCCTGGGATTGAGCCTTGCATCAGGCTCAGTGGGGATCCTGCTTCTCCCTCTCCCTCTCCCTCTGCCTGCTGCTCCCCCTGCTTGTGCTGTCAAATGAATAAAAACAAAACCTTAAAAAAAGAGTTGCAGATTAAGATTTAGTAGGAAAAGATGGTGGCTTGGTTTCATTTTAGGTATTTTTTAAGGCATTAGAAAAATACGTCTGACAAAGATAGGAAACATTCTTTGTTAGATTTAGGGAAAGCTAAAATTCTAGGCTTTTAAAACAATTTGAGTGACTAGGAATCCATTCTCTCTCTCTCTGGCTTCCTAGGAAACCACAACTTCTCCAGGGAGTCTATGCCATGGGCTTCAATCGACCATCCAAGATACAAGAGAACGCATTACCCATGATGCTTGCTGAGCCGTGAGTATGCAGGATTTGGTTTAATGTCTTATACCAATAACCGTTAATTCTTCTTGAGAACAAGATGGGATGTTTGGGACAGCATGTTTCTTCAGGAAAACCACTTGAGCAAGTGCAGAGAGTCATTTGAAATTTGGTACAGGTTCTGCCTTTCCATTTAACAGTAAAAACTGATGGGGTGCCTGGGTGGCTCAGTTGGTCAAGCATCGCACTCTTGGTTTCAGCTCAGATTGCGATCTCCGGTCATGAGCTCAGGTTTGTGAGGTCCAGCTCCACACAGGACTCCATAGTTAGCATGGAGTCTGCTTGAGACTCTCTCCCTTTCCCTCTCCCTCTCCCTCTGCTCCTCTCCCCACTCCCATACCCACTTGCATGCACACGCTTTCTCTCTCTGTCTTAAGATTTTATTTATTTATTTGACACAGAGAGAGATCACAAGTAGGCAGAGAGGCAGGCAGAGAGAGAGAGGGAGAAGCAGGCTCCCTGCTGAGCAGAGAGCCTGATGTGGGGCTTGATCCCAGGACCCTGAGATCATGACCTGAGCCGAAGGCAGAGGCTCAATCGGTAGAGCATGTGACTCTTGATATCGGGGTTGTGGGTTCGAGCTCCATATTGGGTGGAGAGATTACTTTAAAAAATAAAATCTTTAAAACAGCAGTACTTGGGTGGCTCAGTTGGTTAAGTGGCTCCCTTCGGCTCAGGTCATGATCTCAGGGTCCTGGCATTGAGCCCCATATCAGGCTCCCTGCTCATTGGGGAATCTGCTTCTCCCTCTCCCACTGCTCATGTGTCCACACTCTTTCTCTCAAATAAATAAAATCTTTAAAACAAACAAAACTGATGAAGAGAGCTAATGTTGTTATTCTGTGCAATTGTTAAATTTGGGGTTTTTTAAAAAAAGATTTATTTCTTTATTTGAGACATCATGCACATGAGTGAGTGCAGGGAGGGGCAGGGGAGGAAAGAAACTTTAGCAGTAGAAAATTGGCATCCTACTCTATGTAGTAACCTTTTCCATTTAACTCCATTATTTTTCTTATTTAGTGACAAAAATTCTACCCATTTCCCTGACTGGGTTACGTTAAATAAAATGTGAAAGTTCCCTCTAAAGCATCTGTTTGACTTGTATTTTCGTAAAGAAGGGAAAGGGAACACACAGAGGGAGCCAAGTCCTAGAGACGCATTATAGCTGGGCAGAAAATGCCTTCGGGGATTTGCCTCAGCACAGAGTTTACCTGCAGTGTTAATTTCCATGGGGCCCCTAGGGTACAAAACTAGGGTACACTGGCTATGCTGGAGTCTAGAGTGAAGATTTCTTGGCGTGAACGCATCTAAATCATTATGTCCCTTAATATTTAAGCAGTTTTTTGACAACATATAAAAAATATACCATTGTGTTCAGTGCAGAAAACCTGGACTAAAGGGAGAAAGCTCTGCATGCCTACCATCCAAAAAGAACTTTTGATACTGTATTGTGTTTAAACAGTATTATTTTCATTTCTATTCTTCCTTGATCCAGCCCGCAGAACCTGATTGCCCAGTCTCAGTCAGGTACTGGTAAAACAGCTGCCTTCGTCCTGGCCATGCTCAGCCGAGTGGAACCAGCAGAGAAATACCCCCAGGTGAGGGCTGGGGGATCCTGAGGGCCCTGGCTTGCCTGGCCTGGGCAAGGCAGTGCCATACGGTGGGGGGTTAATGGTGGTGCCCCTAAAGGGGTCTAAATGTTTCCTGTGGCTCAGGCAGAGCCAGGTCATGCACTAGGCCACAGTCTGGGTAGAATTCATTCAGCAGCAGTCTTAAACAGTGGCTTCCGAAGGCATCCCCCCATCCAGGGCTCCCTGCTGTAGGTTTGGGTCTGCAGCTGAAAAGTGGGCCTGGTTGGAAGAGATGTGGTTGCCTGCACTTTTTAGTGGTGGTGAGGTCAGCATGTTGTTGCTTTAGGGCCTGTTGTCTATTACTGAAAGGCTCTTCTAAACTCAACCTTTATGATCTCCCTGTTAGTGTTTGTGCCTCTCCCCAACATACGAGCTGGCGCTTCAAACGGGAAAAGTGATTGAGCAGATGGGCAAATTTCATCCAGAACTAAAGCTTGCTTATGCTGTTCGAGGCAATAAATGTAAGTATAAAGGCCTGAGACCTAAGCAGTGAGCAGGATAGGGTGGTTGGGTGTTTGAATTTTGAAGGTATGATAATATTAAATTTTCTGGTTCAGTTGACCTTAGGGCCCACTGCATCACTTTCAGGAAATCTGTTTTAAACTTGCTATTTAACAGTCGTTTCTATTTTTTTTTTCTTTTTTTTGTTTCTACTCTTAAAAGATTTTGAGTTGTTGTAAAAAATCTTTGTATGAGTCATGGAGTTCTTAAAGTCTGGCATTCTTCCCAGAGAAAACAGGGTGTTGAATTCAGCATGCAGAGTTCTCGAAGCTGCTTATTACTAACAAGGATTAGTAGGTGTGAGGATGGTAGGTTGGAGTCATATCCCTTTGTTTAAAAACAAGCACAGCCTAGTAAGAGTAAACGAGGCGCACGTACAGATAACTTGGTCTTATCAAAACCAGAAATCCTTCCACCATTTTTTTCTCCCATGTATTTTATAGAATGTAATATAGAGAACATGGAGTCAAGTGGAGAGGAGGGGCAGGTAGAAAATGGTTCATTAGAAAGTTATCAGGGTATATAAAACTATAAGTCAGTAAGGAAAAAGTAAGCGGTCTAAATAAGGAAAGAGTCTAATAGTAAAGAGGCCCGGTTGAACAGACTCTTCACAAAAGCCTCATTTGTCATCAGGGAAATGTAAGTTAAAACCACTGTATGCCTCTCAGATGGGCAGAAGTGAAGCAGTCTGATGATACTAAGTATTGATGGAGATGTCCAAAAACTGGAATGCGCATACATTTCTGATAGGGAGTATACAGTGGGATAGTTACTTTCTGGAAGCAGTTTGGCATTGCTTAGAAAAACCATAGACAGATCTCCCTTTGACCCGAGCGGTTTATATTTGCCTGGAGCAGTGGTTCTCAAACTTCTGGATTTCTTTCTTTCTTTCTTTTTTTAAGATTTTATTTATTTATTTGACAGACAGAGATCACAAGTAGGCAGAGAGGCAGGCAGAGAGAGAGGGGGAAGCAGGCTCCCCACTGAGCAGAGAGCCCGATGCAGGGCTCAATCCCAGGACCCTGGGACCATGACCCGAGCCAAAGGCAGAGGCTTAACCCACTGAGCCACCCAGGTGCCCCTTCTGATGTTTGAATATCCCTGCATATGTGTTGTTTCCCACATGTTAATATACAACAGGGTTAATTCCTAATCATGGAGTATTGGTCACAGGCTATGCGCATTAGTAATATTGATAGGTGGTTGTACCAGTTCAGCTCCCACCAGCTATAATTCGAAAGTAATATGTTTTTTGTTTGTTTATTTGTTTGTTTTAAGATTTTATTTATTTTGTCAGAGAGAGAGGGAGAGAGAGCGAGCACAGGCAGACAGAGTGGCAGGCAGAGGCAGAGGGAGAAGCAGGCTCCCCGCCAAGCAAGGAGCCCGATGCGGGACTCGATCCCAGGATGCTGGGATCATGACCTGAGCCGAAGGCAGCCACTTAACCAACTGAGCCACCCAGGCGTCCCAAAAGTAATATGTTTTTTATTTTTATTTTTTATTTTTTTTAAAGATTTTATTTATTTATTTATTTTGACAGAGAGAGATCACAAGCAGGCAGAGGCAGGCAGAGAGAGAGGGAAGCAGGCTCCCCACTGAGCAGAGAGCCCGATGCGGGGCTCGATCCCAGGACCCTGAGATCATGACCTGAGCAGAAGGCAGCGGCTTTAACCCACTGAGCCACCCAGGCGCCCCGTAATATGTTTTTTAAACCAGAGAATTTGTACTTAGGAAAACTGTCTACACATCAGAATGTCTAACAAAGCAAAAACGCATTGGGCCAGGATCCTGGGACGCACAAGTACCAACTAAAGAAAAACCTATGAACCGTGAGTGAATGTATGGTGGGAAGTGAGTAAGAGTGATGTTGAGGAGAACGAGCGGGATGATGTTGAATCACAGGAGGAAGCAGGAAGGAGACATGATGCTTATTGAGGGTTCACTGCAGAGGATTGAATCCTGACCACGATGCAGTGAGATGGGTGCCATTGTGCCTGCTTTACAGTAGAAGAACCCAAGACTTTTGGATAATACTCCTGTATATGTGTTTTGACATCTGGAGTTAACTTATTTTACTAACTCTGGAAGGATGGGCAAAGCTTTGATTTCCAAAGCTGGTTTTGCCATGGAAATCCCCATAGAAAACATCTTGTCTCCACAGTGGAAAGAGGTCAGAAGATCAGTGAGCACATTGTCATTGGCACCCCTGGGACTGTTCTGGACTGGTGCGCCAAGCTCAAGTTCATTGACCCCAAGAAGATCAAGGTGTTTGTTCTGGATGAGGCTGACGTGATGATAGCTACTCAGGGCCACCAAGATCAGAGCATCCGCATACAGAGGTAGGAACTCTTGAGTCAAGAGGAACTTCTCAGCCTCCTGATCTGCAGCATCTTCTCCTTTTACTTCAAACACCTCTTCTTGCTCCTGTCAGGTTCTTTATCTAGTACCTCCAGAAGCATCTGTTTGATAGGCCACTTCCTCGTCAGCACTGACCTGGGGTTGAGGAAGGAGACATAGGGAATCTAACCCCAGCCCCATTCCTGCCCCGTGGCTGCTCTCACCTCTTCCCCGCTGTTCTCCCGCTTTTGCTATTTTCCTGGGCACGTAGCCCATGCAAGCCCCGGGCCACTGTCTTCTGTTTGTTCCAGAAAAGACTCGGGATCATGCCCCATACCTGTGTCTTCCCTTGCAGGATGCTGCCCAGGAACTGCCAGATGCTGCTTTTCTCTGCCACCTTCGAAGACTCTGTCTGGAAGTTTGCCCAGAAAGTGGTCCCAGACCCAAACATTATCAAGTTGAAGCGCGAGGAGGAGACACTGGACACCATCAAGCAGTATTACGTGCTGTGCAATAACAGAGATGAGAAGTTCCAAGCCTTGTGTAACCTGTATGGGGCCATCACCATCGCTCAGGCCATGATCTTCTGCCATGTGAGTAGCAGTGGCAGCAGCTACCCTGGAGGGTGTGCCTGCCCCTCCTGTCAGCCAGCGCCACCTCAGTGCTGAGGCGGGCCAGGTGCCATGTGTGGCCAGAAAGGAATGGTTTGTGAAGGTGTAAGATAGTTTTATCTTAGTATTCTGAGGCATACATGGCTTCACAGTCAAGTCCCTAGGGGCGCCTGGCTGGCTTAGTCAGCAGAGTGTGCACCTCTCCGTCTTGGGGTCCTAAGTTTAAGCCCCACATTTGACCTGGAGCTTACTTTAAAGTTTTTTTTTTTTTAAGTATTATTTGTAGGTGATACATTATTAGAAAACCCAAGAGAACCAACAGATATTTGTAGGAAAAATAAGAAATTAAACACCAACAGATATTTGTAGGAAAAATAAGAAACTAAATGACAGCTGGTTACAGAATTAATATAAGTTTTTTTCCAGTCTCGAACAGTAAATACTTAAAAAATAGAAGTTTAATAACTGATCATTTGTTCACTTATTAATAATTCAAGAATGTGAAGTGGGAATGCCCAAATAGATCAGTCCCTATACTTTTCTCTGCATGTGGTAACACAGTAACTTAAAAAAAAACTTAGGGAGCTTGTGTCAAAAAAAAAAAAAAAAGGAAGCCTAGATTTTCATTGATAATAGCAAAAAAAAAAAAAAAAAATCAGGAATAAATATTTAGAGTGTTACCCTCAGATTGAAAATTGATCCAGAAAGGATGAAAAAAAGAAAACACTTTCATGCCTTCTGTTGTTAACAGTTAGCCAGTTTGCTTTTATCCATGTGCTTGCATTTGACACATCCATACTTTTTGGTTTTGGTGAAGTATTTTATTTTATTTAAGATTTTATTTACATATTTGACAGAGAGAGAGATCACAAGCAGGCAGAAAGGCAGGCAGAGAGAGAGGGGGGGAAGCAGGCTGCCCGCTGAGCAGAGAGCCCGATGTGGGGCTCGATCCCAGGATCCCGGGATCATGACCTGAGCCGAAGGCAGAGGCTTTAACCCACTGAGCCACCCAGGTGCCCCTTGGTGAAGTATTTTAAAGTTAATTGTAGACATCATGATAGTTCACACCTAAGTACTTCCCAGAAATGAGATGTGCTCCTACATAAGCCCAGTGCCACTGTCATGTCTTTAACAGTGACATAATAATACTCCTGTCTAGTCCTTCCATATTCCATTTCTCCACTTGTTATTGGTTTGTTTGGGTTTTTTCCCCCCATTTCTCCACTTATGCCAAAAATGTTCTTTATTGCTTCTGGCCGGTGGTGTTAAGTCTAAGAGCCAGTCAGAGATCACTGCACATACTTGTCATGTCTCTCGAGACTCATTTAACCTGGAACAGTTTGCCCACCTTTCATGAAACAAAAGTAAGTAGTCTTGAGAATTTCTCTCATGTCCCTGCCTTGTGATTATATTCAGGTTAAATATTCTGTGAGATTAATATCCAGGTGACATCATTACCTCCTGTCACAGCATGTCACATTAACAATTTTAGGAAGTTTAACCGTCAGCTACTGAGTTTCATGTAGAGTCTTCCAGATCAAAAAATACTCTCTTCTGGAAAAAAAAAACAAAAAACAAAACAAAACAAAAAACAAAAAAATCCACTCTCTTCAGGTACCTTCATTTCTCAAATAGTTCCTTCTCCCCAGACCCGCAAAACAGCGAGCTGGCTGGCAGCAGAGCTCTCCAAAGAAGGCCACCAGGTGGCGCTGCTGAGTGGCGAAATGATGGTGGAGCAGAGGGCTGCGGTGATCGAGCGCTTCCGAGAGGGCAAAGAGAAGGTGCTGGTGACCACCAACGTGTGTGCCCGCGGTGAGCAGAGAACGTGTCTGTCCGCCAGGCCCCGGGTAGCCAGGGAGTCCTGTACGGGGCGCTCCGCCGGTTTGGGGGTGTCCACGTGGGCTTGCTTCTCTCCTGGAGAGACTGGGCTCCCCGGGCACATGAGAATGTCACAGAAGCCAGAGGCGCCGATGTGCTGGAAGGACATGGAGCAGCAGCTCGCTGGCCCAGGACGGTGTCTGCTCTCTTTGGGGCCCCCACGGAGGTTTCGGCTGCGTTTTCTGATACTTGTGTCTAGCAGAGGCTCTCTTCTTGAGGTCATAATTTTGTCAGCACTTGCCGAAGTTCTGTCTTTCCCTCTGGGTTCTGCCGCATGCCCCCGGTCCCCGAGTCCCAGAGCCGGCCTGCCCCAGACTCTTCCTTCCACCCGAAGCTGGTGTGTGTCGGCCTCACTGGGTTGGCAGTGATTTTCGGCTCCCGTCCTGACTCCTCTGCACCTGCCTTTCATGTAGGTATTGACGTCGAACAGGTTTCTGTCGTCATCAACTTTGCCCTCCCCGTGGACAAGGACGGGAACCCGGACAACGAGACCTACCTGCACCGGATCGGGCGCACGGGCCGCTTTGGCAAGAGGGGCCTGGCAGTGAACATGGTTGACAGCAAGCACAGCATGAACATCCTCAACAGAATCCAGGAGCATTTTAGTGAGCGCCTGGGAATGGCCCCCAGGGAGGGACGAAGGGTCGGTTCTCCCGTGGCCCCGAGAGAGGCCCGTGTCCTTGTCACACAGTCCCCTCCTTTCCTACAATATGGAAGTTCTCGAAGAGCACACCTGGCAAGTTTTCAGGGTCAGGGATGCAAAGGACAGTGCCCCCCTGGCCAGGCTGAGGGACCCGGGGCTCTCTCTGTCCCTCACTCGGGCACCGGGAGTCTTTGGGGTCAAGTGCAAGACTGCTGTGGCTAGAGGTATGGTCCTGTTCCTAGGCCGGGCAGAACGCTGTGTTTCCTCTCTCCCCGCCATGCTGTCCCTTTCCTAGGTGTGTGTCTCCATGGTAGACCCACACTGATTTCTCTCTGAATTCTCATTTTCCTCCCCAGATAAGAAAATAGAAAGACTGGACACGGATGATTTGGATGAGATTGAGAAAATAGCCAACTGAGACGCTCCAACAGTCACCAGTGCCCACCCCGGCACTCCGCCTGCATGGGAGACCAGTGCTTTCACGGCACAGGCCTCGACAGTCACCACAAAGACAAAAGCAGAGGAGA